TCAGATAACGCCATTAACGGTGCATAGTGAGATATAACCCAATAAATTTTACCCCATCATCATAATGACAGAAGCACACGATATAATGATGTTTGCACTTCATATAAAGCAGCGGTCATATAATTATAGATGCACATCGTATAATGAAAAATCGACATAATATATTGATAAGTTGACTGTATAAAATGATGCAACCACATAATATATTCATAAATGCACATCGTATAATAATAGATGCACATCGTATAAAAATAAATGCACATCGTATAATAATAGATGCACATCGTATAATGAAAGATTGACATAATATATTGATAAGTTGACAGTATATAATGATGCAACCACATAATATATTCATAAATGCACATCGTATAATAATAGATGCACATCGTATAATAACAGATGCACATCGTATAATGAAAGATTGACATAATATATTGATAAGTTGACTGTATATAATGATGCAACCACATAATATATTCATAAATGCACATCGTATAATAATAGATGCACATCGTATAATAATAGATGCACATCGTATAATAATAGATGCACATCGTATAATGAAAGATTGACATAATATATTGATAAATTGACTGTATATAATGATGCAACCACATAATATATTCATAAATGCACATCGTATAATAATAGATGCACCTCGTATAATAATAGATGCACATCGTATAATAATAGATGCACATCGTATAATGAAAGATTGACATAATATATTGATAAATTGACTGTATATAATGATGCAACCACATAATATATTCATAAATGCACATCGTATAATAATAGATGCACATCGTATAATGAAAGATTGACATAATATATTGATAAGTTGACTGTATATAATGATGCAACCACATAATATATTCATAAATGCACATCGTATAATAATAGAAGCACGTCGTATAATAATAAATGCACATCGTATAATAATAGATGCACATCGTATAATGAAAGATTGACATAATATATTGATAAGTTGACTGTATATAATGATGCAACCACATAATATATTCATAAATGCACATCGTATAATGACTGGTCGACATCATATAAAGTCACATTGACATCATATATTGTTGAGTTGACTTCATATAAGGATGCATCTACATAATATATTCATGAGTGCACATCGTATAAAGAAAGAGTGACACAACAACGTTCATTTTTACAATCATAAGACAGTCAAGGCTTTCCATAAACCACCACATATAACGATGTTAAACGAGACAGAAAGTATTTTACATTTACGAAACACTTACAAACTTGCTTGCATGATTTCAGTCGGCCATATTCCCTAGCTATGAAAGATAACTCCCTGTTTCCCTGTCTAAAATCCAACCAAATTATTCCCCTTTCAAATGAACTTAAAGAAGGGACCTTTTAAAATGACTTTGTATTTATTTATTCGATTTTTTGTTCAGAAACAGACAATTTTTTCTTTACCTTTGTTTAATTTGCTTTCTATCTATATATGGTTCCTATGGTAAACATATGAGTTTTGATGGTAAACAAATGAATTTTCTGAACCGAAAGTAATCTAACACACAGCGTTGCTGACATCACATGTAAACAATACATTAAATCGGTAAGAATATTGAGATATTTGTTTGACAATCAGTTATTAATATAGAAAACAAGTATGTGTAGTTTTTGTGTATTGTTTTAATGTGTTTGTCTGATATTTTAGTTGTAAAAGCCATGTACACTTAGTGTCGCTTCATAGCAAGTTTTTAGCAACCGAGTTTAAAACGTGAGCAGTAACTGAACGAGATATGGCAAAGCGCATGCTCGCGCACTGACTTCCGCTCTATCTAACGTATAGCGAAAGTTCGTAAGTGCGAAAATAGAAGAAAATAAACCTTTTACTGTACACGATAATTGTGACCAATCATATTGTTGTATTTCTGTTATTTAGAGAATACTTCATTGTCATTGGTTGTTAGAAAATACCATAGAAGAAAATAAGAAAAATTTCCTTCGCGAACACCTTAGTTTATGAGCCAATAATTTTAATGATGGAGACATATTTACAAAAAAGACAGTTGTTTTACAATGTCTAGTATTATTATTTAACGAAAAAGTATTTAGTTTTGTCAGATCTTATTCATATTATAAGATCTGATACCCCATTTTCTTCTTTTCGTGTTGGATAGAAAATAAGGCGAATTAACCTAACAGCAACTGTTATTTATCAAAATATGTTATAAAAAGATGGGACTTATTGTTTAATGAATAGATATATTTAAAATTAGGTTGGCAAGGGAACATGGAGTCAACCAGAGCTCCTCCCCGGCAACGTAGGACACTAGTATCCCCCCTCCCTGTTGAAACAGGGCGCCGCCGGGGTGCCCGAGACAGTCTTCTGCCGTCCTCCCCCTGATGGAATGGGCCTGAAGGACAGCATAGGCTGTCTCTGAACCCCTGTCTTACCATAAACAGTCATTTCTATTATTAATTAAGGTAAGGTAATGGTTAAAAGTCTGTTTGTTGTTTATTTCCATGGGGAGAGTAGATAACTCCTGTTATTGTTCTAAACATAGGAAACTAAATGTCTTCATATTCGTTGCTTTTAGTGAAATTTGGTCGTAGCTAATCTTTGTCCAATAAAAAGCTGTTTTAATGCACGAACTGCATAAACAACTTTTCTATCTTGAGAAAATATTACACATGATACTTTTACGTCTCACATTTGCATAAAAAAGTATGTTAAAGATTAAAGAAATTATTTAAAGAGAAATCATGATTTTCCGTCAAATTGTTGGCCATTTTCAGAGCGTTTCTACCGCGAAAATAAATTTCTACCATTACAACGACAGGGTTTTCTTTTCAACCGGGCTAGTTTGGACCCATGTGACATTTTCAGGTAGGTATTTGCTTGTGTGACTCTAAGTGATGGATGTCTGTGTATAACACGAAATCACTTTTATTACAAAAATGAGATATTTGTTCAACAAAAAAAAACAAAAAAAAAAAACAAGAAACAAACACACAAAAAACAATCATTTGCATGGATTTTTTTCCCGAAGCTGCCAGTTTTGATCCGCTCAAAATATTTTAGTTACTAGAAAAACGAGTCAAATATTACTTGATAATTTGTCCAGTCAATGAAGGTTGTGAGGTTGACAGCCTAACATCAATATACCAACCAAATTTACAAACTGCCCGTTGATCAGTGAGTCATCACTGCACCATTCTGCCATCACTGGCGTCAGATATACGTCGTGTTTCCATCTATTTTGTCTATTTGTAAACACTACTAAAGCACCGGACGTTATAGATTCCCCGTGCATCATTCCATTGCGCATAGTCATTGCGCTTAACTAGTCCCTCCCATTTTGAAAACAGTCATAAAACTGATTCGCTATTATGTAACATAGTATGTTCTATGAACGATAAAACATTCTATGAACCGATTTTTACATACTAGTAAAAAAAGTAACATGACCTCGTTCTGATGATTACCTCTTACAGGCTGGTCCCCACCAGTTGACCCATACAAGCGCTTACCATATGCATGTAGTCCTTTTTCCGAAACACTCTTTCCGCCCCTTGGCACATGGTATATAGTGTAAGCAACCTGTGCGTTTACGACGCGTCGACGTTCTTTATATACACGTATTTCAATTTCCTGATTAATAACTTAATGCATATGGATTGAAGTAGGATTGATTTGTGATATAGGAAACTACATGTACACATTGCTTACAATATATAAAATGGGTGTAGAACTGACAGAGTTCTGTTCAACGCGAACTTTAATTTGATGAAGGTCCAGCTAAAAGCATGCTGGACTTGCCGCAAGGAAGAAATGTGGCTGTCCAGTAGTGTACCAGTAATTAATTAAAAAAAAACTTTGCATGATCACACTTGTTATTGGTCATTTTTAGATAATCGTTTAAGGATCTCTTTAATCAAATACAAAATTATCTGAAATTATCATATTTTCATGGAGCCAAAATCTCTCAGGGACATTTGGTATAGTAACAGCACTGAATGAGTTATGTTCTTTAAGCCAAGTCGTGACTCGAATGTAACAAGTGATTCGAGTCTATCCAAGAAGGTAAGTTATAAATGCCTGTGTCCAGAAAAAAATACATATTTGTACCTTACTATATCATAGAAACAAGAGGTTAAAAACTGATATTATTTCAATGCAAAGTTAATATAATGTTACTTGATATTTGTCCTCACTAGAGTATTTGATAAAATAACGATAGCGTCTGTCCAGTGACTTGACATACGAAGAAAATATGTTTCTTTGTTCGTTCGTTCGTTAATGTGCGTCTGCGTGCGTGCGTGTGTTCGTTCGTTTGTTTCTTTGTTTAAACATGGCGGATAATGTTTAATTTAAGCCGTGGACTTTGATAAAAAGAAAAGTCAATGAAAACCTTGATAAAACGCTGCAAACAGATTACACATTATAAGAGAACATTGTAGCTCCAATTCAGAATTCAGAATTTCAGTTTTCTTCATGATATGCAATGAAACTGAAAAACAATTATCTTTAAAGGCGATCATGTGACAATCTTCCAGGAAACGTTATTATGATTTTCCGCCATGTCGGATAACTCTGATTAGATTTAGTGATTCTATGGGCGAGTTATTCATGGTTATTGGCAGAGAATCGATTTTCCAAGCACACAGAGGACAAATCATTTTTCTAGTGAACTTCAAGTCAGTGGCAGCGTCACAGAAATAGTTCTTAGGACGGACACATTTCATATTGAGTATGGTGTCCCATACGGGTAAACAGTAAATAGATCTGTTTCGTTTATATGTCATCCTGGTGCAGTGAAAATACTATTGACATTGAAAATTACTGACTAGATGCGGTGTATTTTTCGACTGGTCTGAATTGAAATTCAATTTCTAACACTAACTGTATTAATCATTAAGTGTCTTTAACTGAATTTAACATTATCACATGCGAGCTAGATGTAGTTGTTAATCAGATCTCTGCCTATTTAACCAGATTTCTAGGGGGAAAACTCCAATACCGCCATTTATTGGATTTATTTTTAGCACCCGACTGAGGCTATGCGTTGCTACGCTCGGAGAAAACCGTTAAAATCTATTTTTCGCAGATCCACAGGAAGTTTGTTATCGAGTTATTAAACCTACTCGTGTATGCGACTACAATCAATCTGTGTGTACAGAAAGATATTTCTTCTTTCTGCTGATTACATGCTTATCATTTAAACAATACAATGCTCGGAAATAATGGACTAAAACGATAGATACGTCGGGCAATATGTAACCAATTGTGGACAAAATGGCCCCGGTCACCAGCGCCATACGAATGTTATATGTGGCTATATTTCCAGTGATATGGAATCGAGGTAAGTAACATTTCTGGGTTTTAGTTTTCTGCGTATTTATATTTGTTCTAATCGTCCTTGTAGATTTACATTACGTAGATTTTTGCTTAATCCAATAGGAGAAATATTCTAAATATTCGTTCCCATGGCAACGAGTTTAGTTGTATAAACCAGAAAAGCTCGCCAGGTGTATCGGAAATATTGAAATATATTTTCTTTAGCAAGGAAACGTATTTAACTAAAATGTTCGATGCCATGATATATTATACTAGCAAACGGTTTTCTTTTAAACATTGAGAATCTCCGTTTCAACTATTTATTCGTGCTGTATGTAATTTGTATTGACTCGATTATACATCTGTTGCTAGGATTATAAGTATTTGTATTGAAAATGAATCTAATTTTATCAACTGTGTCTCTTAACGACGTAATATATCAACTTCTCGCAGCGGTTGCTTCCCCTGATGAAAGCCCCGATCACAATTTCCGGCTCTTTCCGCCAATTTTCGGATAAGGACCTCGAGCATGAAAGACAGAACGGGGGTGAAATTTCGGTCCAACTAAACATGTTAAAGGCCCATTTTGTCTCAGAAATGCTTTTATTTTTATTTTGTAAGTTGTTTTTATTGTTAATGTCCGGTTATATTTTACAAAAAGTTACACATTGGCTAGTTATCATTTTTTTGGCAATAAGTAAAGACAAAGTGGTTAAGTATTTTGTATGGAAGTCAAAATACTACTTTGTTTACATTTTGCTACTTTTATGTAAAATAATGTCACATTCAGAACTTCTTTCTGCAGGTGAAATGCATCTAGCATGCTCTTTTAAACCATTAAAATAAATTTTATAAAAATCATATTTTCTCTTTTTATAGAAGGATATATATATATATATTCTTTTCTCGAAGCATAATGTGCCTTTAACAAATTGTATGTAAAATCTTTGTTGATTTAGTTTATATTCATAAAGCGTCTACTTAAATGAAATAAATTGATAGATATTCAAGTAAAAGGTAATTTCTTGATATACTAACTCGTTTAGTTTAAGCAACAGGAAGTACAAAATGTATACGATATTTCTGATTTGTTTATAATTGGTTTACTATTAGTCCAAATATTTAGACGAAAACCGCGGATTTGAAGCTATTTTTCACATTGGTCAAATTCGCATTTTCCGATAAACGTAAAACTAAAAGAAAAAGCGAAGTCTTTCAATTAAGGACTAGTTTATTAATCGACCTTCAATGTCATACATATTTTGCAATTCTACTATAATAACATTATACGAAATAGAGACACCATCTTCTTTGGATGTACATTACACAAATATTATACAGTCTGCGTCAATGGTCCCGAGGTCGAACAACTTTCGTATTAACTCCGAGATTATTATGAACAATCGGCGAGGTGTTCGGAATGTAGCATACCATGACGTAACCGGTGCGAGTTCCATTAATTAAGCACTATCCATTGTTTCGTTATTGGATTTTAATTTTACGAAAATTGCAAAAAAATAAACAGCCATTAGAGCGCAATCTACTGGAAAGGTTATCCCAGACTGCCCTTTTTCGTTTTTGGCAATTGCCAATCATTGCTTATTCCGCGTTAAAAAAAAAAATATTAGCAAAATTGTTTAAAGATGGGATCGAATGCACCAGCCAAAATTCTGTTTGTAATATTATGAAATAAACACGACCCAAATATGTGATAATTAATTTTGGCGTTATTTTATATAATCTACTTGACATTATATATAAATTGACAACACCTAGCTAGTTTTTAATAAATAATTATGTTTAGCGAGCTTAGCGCTTAATGTGACGGTGTTACAAAGGAAATCTAGAACCTGGTAAGATACTTTATTAAGCACACACACACACATACACACACGAAAATAAGCTCATGAATAATTTATATTAACAAACTTGTACCTTCCCTGAATGACCACGTGGTTAATTTAAAAGCATTTAATTCTTCCAGTACCTCTTTTTCGCGGAAAAAATCTCAAAGAAATAGCTCAAATGTCAAATGTTGTGAGGTGGTATGTTAATGAAAATCTATTATAAATTGGCGCTAAATGCAATCAACTATTGGCGGGAAATCTTCAAAGAGTTTCCGTAATATCGTCATTTGAAGTGCTGATTACCTGACTTCGATAATGTCCTACAAAATAGCAGCAACCTAAATCGATGCTTTATCTCGTTTGATTTACCGAGTAATTGCCCTCTCACGATGGAATCCCCGAGGATTGTTTACTCAATAAATGACTAATTAATATGAAGGTTTTATAGGTTTCCGGATCATATTCGAAGTCAACAAACATCGAATTTCAATTAAACTATATTTTAACATTTATGCATTAAAGGCCCATTCAGCCTCTGAAATGCTATTATTTTATATTCTTCAAGTCTCTTTTGTTTTTGATATTTTAATTAAAATTACTCATTAGCCATATATATTAACTCTTTTTCGAATAGGGAACAGTGCAGACCATGATCAGACGACACGGATGTGCTGGCTGATCTTGGTCTGCACTGGTCGCGTTGGAAGATTAAGTTGCAGCCAGCTGGCTAATGGTTAAGTAAACGTCATATTGGAGGAAGGTGTACTGGTTATATTGACATGGTAGCATCTTCATATTGGAGGAAGGTGTACTGGTTATATTGACATGGTAGCATCTTCATATTGGAGGAAGGTGCACTGGTTATATTGACATGGTAGCATCTTCATATTGGAGGAAGGTGTACTGGTTATATTGACATGGTAGCATCTTCATATTGGAGGAAGGTGTACTGGTTATATTGACATGGTAGCATCTTCATATTGGAGGAAGGTGCACTGGTTATATTGACATGGGAGTATCTGTTCATATAGGAGGAAGGTGCACTGGTTATATTGACATGACAGTATCTGTTCATAATGGAGGGAGGTGTACTGGTTATATCGACATGGATGTATATGTTCATATTGGAGGAAGGTGCACTGGTTATATTGACATGGGAGTATTTGTCCATATTAGAGGATGGTGCACTGGTTATATTGACATGACAGTATCTGTTCATAATGGAGGGAGGTGTACTGGTTATATTGACATGGTAGCATCTTCATATTGGAGGAAGGTGCACTGGTGATATTGGCATGGGAGTATTTGTTCATATTGGAGGAAGGTGCACTGGTTATATTGACATGGGAATATCTGTTCATATTGGAGGAAGGTGCACTGGTTATATTGACATGGGAGTATCTGTTCATATTGGAGGAAGGTGCACTGGTTATATTGACATGGGAGTATCTGTTCATATTGGAGGAAGGTGCACTGGTTATATTGACATGGGAGTATCTGTTCATATTGGAGGAAGGTGCACTGGTTATATTGACATGGGAATATCTGTTCATATTGGAGGAAGGTGCACTGGTTATATTGGCATGGGAGTATCTGTTCATATTGGAGGAAGGTGCACTGGGTATATTGATATTTGTTTCTGTTAATAGTAGAGGAAGGTGCACTGGTTATATTGACATGGGAGTATCTTCATATTAGAGGAAGGTGCACTGGTTATATTGACATGAAAGTATCTGTTCATATATGAGGAAGGTGCACTGGTTATATTGACATGGAGGTATCTGTTCATATTGGAGGAAGGTATACTGGTTATACTGACATTGGTGTGTCTGTTCATATTGGAGGAAGGTGCCCTGGTTATATTGACATGGGAGTATGTTCATATACGAGGAAGGTGCACTGGTTATATTGATATGGGAATAACTGTTCATATTGGAGGAAGGTACATTTGTTATATGGACATGGGGGTATCTGTTCATATTGGAGGAATGTGCACTGATTATATTGACATGGGGGTATATGTTCATATTCGAGGAAGTTGCACTGGTTATATTGACATGGGTTATCTATTCGTATTCGAGGAAGGTGCACTCGTTATATTGACATGGGAATATCTGTTCATATTGGAGGAAGGTGCACTGCTTATATTGACATGGTTGTGTCTGTTCTTATTTTGAGGAAGGTGCACTGTGATATTGACATCGAAGTATACATGGGAATATTTGTTCTTATTGGAGGAAGATGCAGTGGTTATATTAACAAGGGATATCTGTTTTATATACAGTCTTACGAAATCAATATAAGTCCAATATTCATTTATTTTTAATTCTATTTTTTAATTTAATTTTTGGGGGGATTGGGGGTTGTTAATAACTATCCATGCTTGATTTAGTATATTTTCTTTATTACTGAGTAACCTGTAGTCACGATCGATTTGTAGAAGTGCTCTCTTTATATCCCACGAATAGATAGGCTTTGTTTATGATTTTATTGTTTCAGAACTGATCAATATTTCAGGAAAATTGTATTATTAATTCAGTGACAATATCCACATGGCATTTTAATCAATATTTATATTTGATTTAGATTTAATAACTTTGAAGGCTGAATTGTGATATTTTCAATCTTAATATTTATTATGGGTATTTTCTTTCTGTTTCCCTACAGACAATCCAAAGGCCTGTATAGCGTATATGTTCAATTTATTTTTTTAAAAATCACTGTAGTCAAGTCTGAACACCTAAATTAGATTCACTCCGTTTATTAAATATGTGATCACAACATGATCACTGTATTCAAGTCTGCACTGACTGTCAAGTTCACCGCTGTCACAAGTGGCAATAGCAGTTTACCATGTTGCACGTTCTAATAAATATATGAGCACTTTATCACTTCACAGTTAACCACTTTATATTGAATAATAACAGTTTACCACTTTACAAGAAACAATAGCAATTTATCAATTTATGTACATGTACGTGTAATAATAATGGTTGATAATAGCAGTTAACTATTTTATGATAAATAATAGCAAAATGTGTAATAATTAAAAAAAAGCAAATCCTCCTTTTGTCTTATGATAGCAGTTAATCACTTGTTTCGCTATTATACAATTTAACAACTTTACATGGTATAATAACAATGTACATATGCCAGTTTACCACTTTACAATACTTCTAGTAGCAGTTTACCACTTTACAAGTTACAATATATTTTTACCACTTTACATGTAATAATGCCAGTTGTATTGATAGCAGGTTACCTCGTGTCTTGCAATAGACACAACTGATACATATACATGTATTTGATGAGAAGATATGTTATAATAATTCAATATATTGAAATGAATAGTAATGTCTTAAAATGTACAGTTGTATCTTTAAATTTTAGGCATTGTATTCATATCTGTCAAATATATTTATGGACAACATTAGATTTCTTATACAGACCACTGTCGTGGTTAAACTAAGTGCTTAAAAAGCTTTAAATTTTTTCAATTAGAAGATTAAACATTATTACATTTTCCCTTTTTTTTCTAAACATGTATGTTCCTTTTATAGTGTTCACGTGTTTTCAAATAATTGTTTTCATGATTTGTGTCTCATAGGCCCATTAGGTCGAGTGTATACTAGTGTTAAGTTCACGTATTGTATGTTCATTGTTTTGTATTTTTACATATGACCCATTAATAAAATAGATTAACTTAGTAGCAGTACTCTTCTTAGAGGATTATCTCTCACATGTGAAAATAGCAGTCAGCACTTGTCATGCAACGGAAACGTTTACCACTCTTTATGTATTAAAAGTTTACCACTTATAATGATGAATAATAGTCACTTTTCGCTTACCACAGTTGTCGCTAGTCTGTCCTAATCATCTGTTATTTAATTTGATTGATCATTGTTGTGAACTTTTTTACTTGAAGTGGCAATATGTTCATTGTATTCGTTGTCGATACGATCTGAATATAAGCTGTATATTTAAAGGCCCATTATGCCTCAAAAATTATATTTTTTTATTACTGAAAAACATTTTAATTTTGGTATCTTGTTACAATTTTTTAAAAAAGTACTTAATTGCCATATAAATGAACTGTCTTTTAATTCTTATGCATGCACTGTTGGCAATTGGTATAATTGTATTGAAAAAGTATTGTGTATGGAAGTCAAAATACTATTTTGATTACCTTTTGTTACCTTTATGACACATTACTGTATATTCAGCGCTACTTTCTGTAGTTGTTAACATCTAAAATGCTCTCAATCCATTATTAAAACATTATTAAACACTTGATTGTTATTTCTTGAGAGTAAAAAAAATATGAATTTCTGTCTGAGGCACAATGTGCCTTTAAAAACATTGACTATTATAATGGACGATAAAGAAAGAATATAACAGCAGTTACTGTCTTAAATATAAAAAGACTGTTTCACTCTTCTTATCAATTGAAGGTTTAAGGAGCTCCACTTAGGTTAAAAATCCTAAAACATAACTTTAATTTTTTCACATAGATCAAGTGGAGCATTTTAAATGGAAATCTATGTACAGGATAAAAACGAAATATTTTTAGAATTGTATTGAAAATCGATATTCGTGAGATTCTTAGCCCGATTTATGTGAAAAGCGTTGCAACGCTTTTGAATTTCGGGACATTTTGCACAAAAAATAATGAGTATTCTGAAAAAAACGGGGTGATAGAATGATCTGAAAATTTGCACACAAGGTTTTGGTTCAGACCAACATCAAATGGTATACAAATCACGATAAATATTTTCAGTCCCGTCATGTCATAAAAACCTCAGTGCAGTCCCTTTAACATTCATTCCGCTCTATTGCATTGTCTTGATTCAGTTGGGTTTTTTATTATAAGTATGAACTGGACTCTTTTATGGCAAAATATTTTGACTTCAGCCTCATCACTCAAAATTTACAATTGGATGGACATAATGTCACTTAATAAAATTGCAAGACATTACCAACTCTTATCTCAAGGTGTCTATAAATGCTTTCACATCTGATTTCTACAAAATTTTGTACATGTAGTCATTTATGTATAATTTATTTCATTTTATTTTCATTTTTATGTCTTATATCTTGTTATATCTTATATAAAAGAAAACTAATTATTATTATTAATTATTTTCAGCAATTGCCCTAGACTGCTACGACTGTTATTCCTTCAACAATAGTGACCCGAACTGTGGCGACCCGTTCCATCCGGCTTACGGTGACTTAAAGAAGGACTGTCAACAGGGAAAGGAAGGATTCATTGGCCTGTACCCTGCAAAATTCTGCATCAAACTTATAGGAACAACAGGTAAAATTCTTAAATATTTGAACTCATGAATTCATGACTCACTCTCACTTCAGTGTTGGAGCTGTACCTCTAGACCCTTTCAGAAATCATAATCACAAAGAAGAAAAATATCGTTTTTTGTTGTTTTTTTGTGGGTTTTTTTTCGCCGATTCTTACATTTATCATTCATTATCATATATTAATGTGAAAAGATGAATTCGACGTTTTAGAGTGAATTTCGGCAGGTGAAAAGGCGAGATTAAACCATTAATCATTCAAGCGACTTGTCCGGTATGTACCGGAATACGGTATATATGTATTGTGCTGCACCATCACTTTTTTAAGTCTCATTCATGATAAATAAAATACATGTTGATATGAGGTAACATTGTAAAAAAAATCAGAAAAAGAAGAAAATGGGAGATCCCTCGGATGCAATGAAAACATCAAAATTACAGGTTTGATTTGGTCTGTTCAGGAGTGATCCTTCACGACGCCTAGGACCGCCTCATTTTCGTCTGAAATCATTGATCCAAAAGGACCAGAAAAATATAACGATACCGAATACCTTATACCTTAATTTCATATAGTTCAATTTACTGAATTACTAGTTCTCCAATGTAATAAAACATGTTTACACGATTTAATTTCTATTACTCAACTTTCTAATCAACTTTCTCAAGAAATCTTCAGTAAATTTTATGAGATGCCCCTGAACGGGCCGTTATTAATTCAGCTATTGTCCTGTACCTTCAGTTTTTGACAATACTGTACAAAGAGCAAAACAAGAATAAAGTAAAGGATCAAGCTTTTTGGTTCAACTTATTTTAAAACGCCAATATTTTATAAAGTAATAATATATTTTTTTGCTAAATTTCACGAGATCACATGCTATTTCGAGTCCCTTATAATTTAGGTAAAATTAAATGAAGATAAACAATGATGGTTCATCGGCTCATGAAAGGATATAACAGTGTCTGTATAACTTTAAATTCAATTAAATAACAATTATTAGTACTTCCATAAGTACTAGAAATCGCCGTTCAAGAAAAAACTTGAAATAACCTCCTTCCTGAACAATAGAGCTCTAAGGTTTCTTCTTTTAAGAGAACTATTCCGAATATGTTTTACCCCTCAGGAGTTACACACTGGTTTCGTCCTTTGTCCATAAGGATACTATATCAATTCTATACATGTATGTAAGTAACCCGTCAAAACATGGCGGCCCTTTCATTTTGTGGTCGATTTTGTTACCATGTGGTATTAAATTCTCCATTCAGATTGGCTAAGGACAGACGGTGTACGGGTAGAATTGGTCAAATCTTTTTAATTGTATATATCGCTGTCCAGAAACGGCGACAATGATGATCTATCTATCTATCTCTGGATACTGCCAACCCCTCTTACGAGTGTTACAGGCAGGTATACATTGTATACATTTAAGAAACAGCTTTAAGATACAAGGGAATCCGGGAACCAGTCCCTAGCTCTTATTGAATAGACCCCTTGGTTCTTTTACATGCCCAGTGTATAGCACTGATACATGCGAGGATTACCTGGATTTCTTACCAGTACACCTCTATGTAGGTGGAAAACACTGAAAGTGTCTCTGAAAAATCCCAAGGGTGTAACCCAGGATCGAACCCGGGACCTCAGGAGTGATAGTCAGTGGTTTAACCAACTGAGCTATCGCGCCACCTACGTGATCGTCCATTGTTTTCTTGAAGGACAAATCGCCTCAAATCAGGTTCGGTTTGAATATGACCATGGATATGGAATATGTTTAAAAACAGTCTACATATATTAAAGAATTTGGAAAGAGGCAAAAAGCGTATAATGTTTTGGGATTGGTTTGTTTGGTTTTACGACTCACCAACGCGGTATACATAGCTAGGTTATATGACCCCGAAACCGAAAAGATGATTTTGGCTTAACTCAAGTGTTACAAACTTAAAGCAACACTGGGGGTCAAAACCATCTCCCCTGCTGGAGGCATGGACTCCATTTATTCGAACCGATTTTGTCGGCTTTTACGATCACGCAGGGATAAGCGGTGACTGCAGTGACTGCAATGATTCAACCATTAAAGGCAACACTCCAGCCACAAGGGGCTTGTAATGTTTTTCCTACAATGTATTACTCATGGTAATAATTAGCAAGATATGTTATGAAACAGTTCAGTTACGTGAAATGTCAATTATGCAACATTTGCGTCAATGCAAATTAGCTCTTTACGTAAAGCTTTAATTTTAGATATTTTTCTTTAGTTGTAGACTTATCTCTATTAACCTTTAGATATAGACCTTTAGTTAGGGACCTTTAGTTAGGAATCTTCAGTTAGGTTATACTCAGATAAAACTTCACCATGTTTCTCTTAAGCAATATTGCTCCAGAGACGGGTTTGTATGTCACGTGTTGCAAGAAACGTGCGTCTGGTGTATTCTTTTAGTACAATTTATGGCAGATGCAATTATTTATGACCTTATCAGTGTCCGTAACATGCGTTTTCAACTCTCGAGGTATATACTAGTACGTTTCGTAAGTGTTACGTAAGTTGTGGAAATAACAATGTTACATAAGCTGGTCCACTGTTTTGTAACTCATCTCGCTATCAGACTGGTACTCTGCGCTTGAAAATAAAGTGCGGTTGCTCAACCTTTACTCTATTGGTGGTAAGCCCACTCCTAGTCACGATAAAACGTTTTATAATGGTACTTTTGAATTTTTAACAGAAGTTACGAAAACAATATGAAAAAGAAATGTAACGGTGCTAATTTGCATTGACGCAAACGTTTCATAATCATGGACTGTTTCATAACATATTATGCAACTTTTAACCCTGTCATACCGCATTTTGGAGTAAAACGCTTTTTTGGATCAAAATCGAGCAAATGGGTTTCTTATATTATTCACTTTCGAGTCCGCTTCCTGCAACAAACCAGTACTGGTGTCATATGAAGAAACATGGTCATGACCCGATTAGGACTCGAACCCATGATCCCTGGATTGTGAGGAAGACACCTTAACCACTTGGCCACCGCTCCCCTTAAGGCTTAGTATACGATGCATCAATATGCAATCAAATAATCTTACTTAGTGCCATTTTAATTTTGACGTATCAGTAATTAAAAAAAAATTGTTGCTTAAATTTTACCACTTTAAATATCACAAAAATTGTGACTCTATAACCAACTTAAGTATTTGAATTGTAAATGTTGTCCTAGATATGACAGACGTTTAGAAGAGTATTTTGTTCTGTCAGCCATTTACCGAATAAGTTCTGGTGCCATATTGAACCCTAAAGGAAATATGATAAATATGTAAAGAAATGCAGTAAATGTCATCTCATTGCATATTAAATTCAACAATGCAATTTCTGTTTAATTGCCAGGTAACAAATAAGTTAGAAGTAACATCCATTAATCCTTTACCTCACTTTAACGCACTTTCGACCCCCCCCCCTTTTTAGGCCTGAAATAGTGAAAAAATGTCCTATTTGGGCCCCAAACACATGTTTTCGTTTGAGAAATGTTGCTAAAAAAAGTGAGCACTTTTTCGGCGCCGCCCCCATCCAAAATATACATCAGGGGGTTGCCAGAAGGGGGATGTGCCCCCTTCTGTTTGGGGGGTTTGAAGGGTGGCGGAGTCCCCCTCATCGCCAAGAAAATTTTGGACTTGTGAGAGGCTTAAAATGACCGCAGGTCGATCATAAGGTAACGTGTAACCAACGCCGAAAAGCCTTTGACTCTATCTCAATCCCTTGAGAAGTTGCAGCACTTTGAAATGAATTTTGATGGAAAAAATCGAGGCAAAATAGTGATTTTTGGCAATTTTGAGATGTCCCCTCGTTGCCATGGTAACAGGAAATTTAAGACTGAGCATGTCGTTACAAAGGCAATGGTCCAGTCAACATTTGTGCCAAGTTTGATTAGTATTGAAGCATTTTTCATAGTTTCATAGCAGTTTGAACTTGTAAGAGGAGGCTTTTCAGTGAAAATGGCCATTTTTCACAATATGCTCATGGGGGAAAGGGTTAAAGTAAAGTTGTGTGAAGGCTACTGTTTTAAATCCATTTCAAACTTGTTTCACAATTTTCGATTTTCCTAAATATTTGGGCCTAATGACGTCGATAACGAAATCGTTTACCATGTTTAAAAGCAACTGCTAGCATTAGTTAATTTAAAGTACGAGCATATTCTTAAATACATATTTAAATGTCCGTAGTGACTTATATTTTCAATTTGTAGTCATCTTGGACGCCATTTTAAGTCTAAAAATGAAATGGCACGAGTGAAACTTTTTGTAAACGTTAATTTACAGGACGAGGCATTTCATACTCTGAATCAATAAAATCTTACAGTTTATTTGTAAGGTTTTGCAAAATAATTATATAATTATGTTTTATGTACCACCAAAAATGCTGCCATTTTGAAATAACCACCATATCAGAAAAGAGATTAATTTCGTATTTCCCGAAAATTGGCTCATAAGTGTTTAAAATGATTTTTGCTATTAATGGACGTGGATTTTATCTACATTTGCACCTATTATCTTGATCAACATGATGAATTCTTATAATATGGTAGCCATCTTGGAAGCCATCTTGAATATTCCATTTTTCTCAGCGATGCCAGGATGGAACCCGCTGTATTCATTTCAATGCAGATATTTTCATCTTAGAAAGAAGTATAATTATTTAATATAGAAATGTTAGCTCCCATATCATGCATTGATGTAACTAGAAATAGGGAAAATCCAGATTTTAAGAGGGGTCGTCAATGAGGGGTCGGCAGAATCTATGGTAAAAGGATTTGGATTTTATTAAGATTGAAATAACTGTGTCATGCAATCGCTACAATGATCAGGGTATTTGCAAAGCTTAAAATCGTACTTATAGGCCTCTACTCTATAGGTCACATAATTGATTTCTCCTACTTCATCCTTATTTTTAGTTTACTATTGGCACTAAATATAAGATATTTCTTTACAATATCACTAAAATTCAATTTATTTATTTTGAT